AAAAAAAGCCAAAACCATCAAAACATACAAAATCATATGTGTGCGTACGTGTCTCTGTGTGTGCCCCATATGAACACACACAGAAAACCACAAATGCTCAAAACCCCTGATCGGAAAAAGTCGAATTTCCAAAAAAACAGAGAAAAGCATCGAGAAGACGGTTTAAAAGTCCGAGGACGACAACGACGACCACAAAAACCCGAGCAGCAGTTTGGAAGCTCACAAAATAAATAAATTTGGGGAGCAGACGGAGGGACGGAGGCAGTATTGAGGTAAGCATTTTTAGCCCTGAGATGAGTGTGCATGGGGAGGGAAGGGGGGGGGAGAGGCGGAAAAAGCTCGCCGTAAAAAAACCTGAGCGAGGCAGAGGAATGAGGTAACAAAGGGGCCTAAGAGAGTGAGAAAGAGACAAAAAAAGGACTGATTCAAATCTACTGGTGCGCTTTTACGTGTGAGTGTAAGTGTTTGCAAAGAGGCGTGTACGCAAATAATATACATATATATGAATTTACATTCCTGAACACAAAATGCGAGGCACAGAATCGGACCATCGCAGAACCTGAGAGAGGAAAGGGGCTCCCAAGCGGTCCGCACAGCCCAGTGAAAAGGGCTGCGGGACCCCCGGGGTCCACCTGAGGTGTATCAGAGAGAGAGAGAGGGGATGACGCTGCTGATAACGCGCCTAGACCAGGCCTGAGTGTTACATCACGTGGTGGAGGCCTGGGTATAGACGGCCGCCTGTTGGAGGAGCGGATTCGCCTGCAGGCTGGCAACATTATGCTTCGAGCGCATATGCCGTTTGAGGTGGATGTCGTAGGAGAAGCGTGACTCGCAGTGAAGACACTGAAAGGCCTTTATACCTGTTTGAAACGGAAAAAGGGTGTCATATAAAATGTCAATCAAAACTACTACTCATAATAAGCAAGTAGCTGTTTATATGCAATGTTTTACAAGTAGCCGGCGGCGGCCTGTGTTCGTCTGCGATTATGCAAACAACGTCTGAAAAAAAGAAGGGTTCAATTTAAACCCTTATAGATGAGGGCGTCGTTAGGTTCCACGCAAAGAAGCATGACTTGCGGTGGAGGCACTGAAAAGTCTTTATACCTGTTCGAGACGGAATGGGAAGAGTTCTTTTAAAACCACAACCAAAACGCTACACCACTACAACAAGTTGACAGCTAGGACTTGGGTGTGTGGATAAATTCTTCACTCCAACCAACACTAGACTGCACGAAGGCGACGAAATCAGCCAGATTGATATTGCAACTGATTAGACGAGCCCGTATGGGGTTTTAAAAAGAAAGCCTTTCCAAGATGTTTGGAAGTTATGTTCGGCCACAGCTTGAATTCGCTATACAAGCACGGAGACCCTGGACTGTCAAAGACTGTGACGTCTTAGAGAAGATCCAGAGGCGAGCAACAAAAATGGTCAAAAGTCTGGGAACACTGCCCTATGAAAGCAGACTGTCAACCCTCAACCTATTTTCCCTTCCCTGTAGGCAACTACGAGATCTCGTACTATCCTTCCGTATAATGGCCTAGGTTGTTGTGTTGTGCCCGCTTATTTTTTACCCAAGCTAACACGCTCACTTTGCGCGGTCATCTCCAAAAACTACGCCCCGGCAAAACAAGGATCAGTGCGCGTAAATTTTTCTTCAGTAACAGAATGGTTGCAGCGTGAAATACTCTTCCCGAAGAGGTTGTCCTCTTCACCTATGTGAACACATTTAAGGGCAAACTGGACACGCACCAAACAATTTATCCGCCAGCGACCATCTGACCCACGAGGGAGAGTATTAAGCATACTCGTTATAATACTCGCACTAAGCGAGTAGTCATATATTGTTACCATTTCGACACCAACAGCTTTTCACTCCTCGCTTGCAAGTATGTAATTGAAGCACCTTTTTCTATTTTGTACTTGTTACAGCTGCGATCATGACTGACCTAGCCGGCCTCAATTATGTCCCATATGGTGCTTCTCCACGCGCGACGAGCCGTGGCCGCAAACCTGGACAGTTTGACCCATTCTCTTCGCCAGCGCCAGCCCCAGCGCCGGAGACCGAATACCGAAGATCCAAGAACCACTTCCGTGTCCTGACGGACTGAGTCGAGCTAGGTTTTGAGTTGACCCCCTCTTCGAAATTTCCAATTAGGTAACGGTTTCAAGTGGAGGGCAGTAGCACTGGGCTCTTGTCAAGTCGAGGGCAGTAGCACTGAGCTCTTAAGGTTGGCGACGAAGAACGTGGCCAAACCACCTCAGCCGTCTTTCCTGAATGGCCTGGGATATCCTTGTGATTTTTTTCACAGCGAGTGCGGACTGTCTCATCTGTGCCAATGCATTTTTAGTCATCTTGTTAATAATAGAGCTCAAAGGCATTCGGCTATCCTTTCCTCAATAAGCGGATACTGATACCGATTACTGATAATACGCAAGTAGGTGTTTATGTTTACTATTTCCGACTGGCCGAGTGACTGCTCGCGCTTCGACTGCAGTTATGTAAATAACCTCTGAAAAGTGTTTGATTTTAAACCTAATCAGTAAGGGCGTCATTAATTCCCCAGAAATAAATATAATCACAGTACATGCTTTGGAGATGCGCGACACTCACCTTCATGGACAGCTTCAACATGGCGTTTGAGACTGGATTTTTGAGAGAAGAGCTTTTGACAAATGGAGCACTTGTAGGGCCTCAAGCCTAGAGAAGGAAAAAACGTGGTGTTAGAGTGGCCCTTGTAGAAAGGCGATGCACATACCTTTGTGAACAGCGTCGATGTGCTTCTGAAGATCCGAATTTCGGGAGAAACTTTTGAGGCAGTCTGGACACTGGAAGGCCTTTTCACCTAGGAAGACAACAGAAGAGAGAGAGTGGCTACTTTCACTTCCCAACTTAGGACCTAAACATAACTCTTGGTGATAGATGAACGAGAACATAAAAGATACAGTAGATGACCTAACTCATGTAAAATCATAATGGAAATTGGACTTTCTAATTTAGCATAAATTTGGCGTCATTATCTTGATCGGGTGAGTAGAGTTGATCCTGAGAAAGCCTTTTAGTAAAAAAAAAAACTGTGCTTTCAATCTTGTATATGAATGAAAACATGCAGCATTTTGGCGAAAGAACGCTGACAGACTAAAAGTGCAAAGTGCAGAAGACTAAGCGCTACTCAGCCAACCAGCGCGATCGCATGCATGTGTTGGCCGGCGGCTTGATGACAATTCGGCCACAATTACTACTGATAATAATTGAGTATATGTGTATGTCTGCTCTTTTGGACGAACCGGCGTTAGATTGCTGTCGCCTGCAATGATGTCAACTACCTTTTTTTCTTAAGTTTCCCTATATTTTGATGCTCACCTTAGCCACATTGGAACCAATAGGGAGTTCAAGGCTGTTCACACAGACGGTTGCCATCTAGACTGAACAGCGGTTTTGTTGTTGCTGTGGTTATTCGCAGCGTTCGTGTACTTTGTTGCGCACATTTAAAAGAACTTTTGCAGACAAAGTACAAAAGACCCAGGAATCAGCCAAGAAGTACGATTGTGTTGCCGAGCAGTACTGAAAGAAAACAGTATGCCATAATGAGCAGCTCGAGGAGAATAACCAGTCCTGAGATGGGTTGAAAGTGTTTGCAGACCGACAGAATAAAGGAATAGGCACGTCGTAATTCCGTGTTTCCTGAAATTTAGCACAAAACCACTCGTATTGTAGACGGTTCCTGTTTCTATTCCCTACAAAAAATTCTACCTTGAATTGCGTCAAGCGCGTCTTGGATTTAAGCTGGGATTTACTCACGTTCGGACCCAAAGCGGCACGGCAACGAGCTCGTGGCGCAATGGTTAGGCCATTAGACTCTGATCAAAAGGTCTCGAGACCGAGGCTTGGGTGACCTTGGATCTGATTATGACTGGCTGACAATGGCTAATAAGCCAGAAATGGCCACTCCAGTCTCCCTTGTCTTCGCCGGTAATACTATCTACCCTGGTTCAAGATGCACTACATTTTGATCGTTCACCAATCACGGCACGGGACAGGGGGAGGGAGGAGGGGCGTCGCCAGCAGCCGCACGGCGGCTGAATAACAGTACCGATAAGGACCACGGAGACTGGAATGAGTCTGTCTGTCTTAATAGTCATCATAAGCCAGCCATACCCAACCCCAGGTGGTGCACCAGCCGAAGCTCGAACTCACAACCTCTTTATCAGAAGTTCAACACTTTAACTGCTGCACCAGGGGCTTGTGGTCCTGCAGGTTTCGGTCGGGAAGATTAACAACGGTAGATGCGCGCTCACCGATCAGTTACGGAACCCGTGTCGTCGGGTTGTACCTTGAGACTCACCTTCGAACCCCAAAAGCGTCTAGTAGTCTAAGCAGATAGCACAATCATCATCACAGTCAAAGGAGACTGGAATGTCCATGTCTGGCTCATCAGCCATCATCAGCCAGTCATAAGCAACAACAAGTAGCGCCCCATTGAGGCTCGAACCCACGTCCTTTTGATTCGGGGTCTAACGCCCTGACTATCGAGCCATGGGCTCGTTGTCTTGCTGGTTTAGGTCAGCAGATATTGACACTCGTTGACTAACGTTTACGGATCGCTAAAGGAAATCACTCGTTCTGCTCTGCCTTGGGGCTCATTTTGGAGCCCACCAACAGCCGCACAGCAGCTAGTAATATTATAAGCAGAATGACCTTAAACACAAGGACAAGGGAGACTAGAATGGCTATTTCTGGTTTCTTAGCCGTCATCAGCCAGCCATGATCAACC